CCCCAAAACCCCAAAACCCCAAAACCCCAAAACCCCGTTTTGTTAATATATTATTGAAAATGTACGAAAATCTTCCAATCCTCCGAGGAATGTACTTCACAATGTTTCAGTACTATATTATAACTGCGTACTTCGCCCTAACAGGTAAGTTCAGGGATTTTGGATATTATAGTGGCGATTTTGGGTACTTTTGTGACAGATATTATCCTGAATTGGGCTCTTCACTGTACCAAACCAAAGAATGAGATAGAATATGAGTTTGAAAGGTCTGAACCAGATTCCCCTTGTGCAGACCGCAACGATAGAATTCAGAGCTATGAACAATCTAATGATATGAACTCTGAAGAGGATGATATTATGCCAATCGAGAGAAGAGCTCGATGTGGAAAAACTCGTTGCAAAGGAATTTCTTGATTAAATTCAACCATTAAAGTGCTTATTATCGTTCTAGAAATCCTCTTAGCCTTATTAATACTGGGCTATTTGGATTTATTGTTAGTCTTTGACATAATAGAAGGAGGTTTAAAGATTACTTCCTTCAAGTTCTTATTATTCATGTCGATACTCATATGTCTTCTCATTAGATTTTATGAAAAGTTTGAACCTAGAAAATGCACACAAAAAATTATTTCAGTTGTTTTCATTGTTTCTCTTCCTCTAATCTTTGCTTTATTTTATGCTCAATTAACATTTATTAAAGGATTTTGACTTTGTATTTGGAATCAGGCAACGCCAGGTTTAAATCATGGTGAAGGGCATCTTTCGTCTGCGTACACAAGAAGTCATATGCCATCTACATGTCCTGTCGATGAGACACCATGTTTGCTCTACGTAACCCTTCCTGAAAACTCTTTAAACGAAGTATTCATCAATTTCCATGTCAATGTAGAATCTTGAGAAGGGTCTTGAACACCCACACTTTTATGGAAAGAATACACTACAGGTTTAGATTTACAAGATAGTTCAAACTGGAATAAATTCACTATAAATGCATCCGACTATGAGAGCCCTAAGAATGAATACTCAAAGAGATATATTTATACTGCATATATGAAATCACTCAAGCCTAATACTAGATATGTATTTCAGATAACTTCTTCTAGTTGGAAAAGCCAGACAGCAAAGACTTATGTGTACAAAACTTTTGATGAATCAAAAATTGTCATTGTTGACGGAGGCGATGTAGGAAACAGCCATATTACAGAAACAATGAATAAAAATACAGTGAGCAAGATTGAAATGGATCTCATTATGCTTGGAGGCGACATTGCTTATGACAACAATATTGCAGCATGCTATAGGTCCTGGGACTACCTTATCAAGAGACTACCGCAGCAAAGAACTGATCCTGTCACTGGACTCACCAGATTAATTCCTACAATTTATGGTGTGGGAAATCATGATATGGGTATAAATCCTTATAATGGAGCAAAGATAACTCATAATGCGAATGAGCCAGCATTTAAGCATTACTTCCCACAAAATACGTACGATGGAAAGATTCCATATGGCACTGATAGGAAGTCTTACTCTTTACAAAAAATTGGGAATCTTCTTGAGATCTACTCGCTTGATACAGGTTACGATACTAAAATGGAAGGCGAACAAATGGAATGGATGATACTAAACTTAGAGAGGAATAGTGCCACTTATAGATTTGCTCAATATCATGGGCCAGTTTATTCAGCTTGCAAACAAGATGCTCATTTCGATCACACAGTTAGTGATAAAGGCAAGAAGTACTGGATTCCAATTTTTGATCGCTACAATATGACAATTGTTTTTGAAAATCACACTCATTCATTCAAAAGAAGCAAGAGAATCAAAAATGGAAAAGAAGATTCTACAGGTACGCTATATCTTGGAGAAGGTAACTGGGGTGTTAAGAAACCATCAGGAGTCTGCGTTCCAGAGAACGCTGACCTCCATGTAAAGTCTACTCTCGATAACAATATTTGGAAGGTAGAAGTTACTCCTACAGGTATTATTGCTACTGCTTACAATGAAAATAACGAGCAACTTGACAGAACTACTATTGATGTCTAAATCTAAAAATTCAACTTTTCCCAAAATGCTAGGGGTTTTGGGGTTTTGGGGTTTTGGGGTTTTGGGG